ATACTTGACATGTAAATGTTTGCAATTGAAATGAAAAAAAAAAAAAAGAAATTAATGTTTTCAGCCTTTGTATTCAATTATTAAATTCAATGTCATTATCATGACACTCAAATATTCATATGTGTCCCAAATATTATTCAGCTTTTATTCACTTTGACCTCACGTGTTTAACCCTTTTTTTGTTTTTTGTAATAATGTGGTCATCTTATCTACATTTAGATATTATTTGTGAGGGAAACATTTTGAAGTAGTTTACAGACACCTATACACTACAACCATACATGTGCTGAATATTTGGGAGTCCATCCAACCTGCTGCCTGCTCCAGGACTGTCTCTGCCTTTCTCACTCCCTCTGTCGCGGGGGCTCTCCCGACCCTTCTCACGATCGTTGCCATCCCGCAATACAGAGCTGAACTTCTCCTCCTCGCTCTTGCCCTCGTCGTTTTCGAGGCCGACGCGATGGCGATACTGGGGGCTCGATTCGATTTCGCTCGCAAGGCGAGCAGCGCGGGCCTCTCTTTGCCGATAAACCTCAGAGTTGCCTCTCTCTAAGGGAACACTGTGTGGACATGGAAATAACAGAATGTAAATCAATGGACTGTTTATAAATACCCATCAACAACTAATAGTTACTGTAAGCTGAAATGAGTTGAAACACTTAGAATAAAGGGTTACTGTAAAAATAGTGCTGAGAGAGGGGTTCTGAAATGAAATTATTTAATTTAAAGAGTTTATTTGGCATTTATTTGTGAGTTACAATTTAACTTACGTATACATGGAGAGACTGGAATCATATGTAGATGTGACTCCATATTTTACTTCATTGTAGCGGAACATCTCATTGGCATCCCAGCCGTTAGACTGCAGAAAAAAATCCAAGCAATCGACAAAATAAAGCAACAAATACAGGCAGCAGTAAAATAATCCATATGTAATGGTATTTGGTCAGAGAGCATGAATTCCTACTTCATGACAAGTGCTATAAAAGACCGACTTACTGCATCATTTTCGAGATCATAACTTTCCCCGTTGCTGTCTCCTCCCTCCCATTTCTGTAAAACCTTCTCCTTATGTTCTCCATTAATGCGGCTGGAGCTGATGGCTGTGTCTGTGAAGCTATCTGAAAGTCAAAACGCATCATGAAGTCACTTTAACTTAGCCAAACAAAATACACATTTTCTTTAGGACCCCTGACTGATCTGCTCTTGGATCAACGTTTTTAACCTCCTTTTAACCATATTCAAAGATCCTACACAAGCTGGAAACTTTTCCAGTGTTCTCAGTCCCTTTAAACTATCCTCTAAACTATGATTACTAAAGTGAACAAATATTCTGGAAGATGTTTACAGAATAGTTAAAGTTGCTAGTTTTTAGCAAATTGGACCCAATTAGAATGTCATCAAAGTTCATGTATATGTAACAGCAGTATTTTCTGTCTGGAACTGATGAGGGTTTGAGAGAAAATTAAATCTGTTATTATAGCAATTAACCGTTTGTACCTCTGGTAGCATAGTTGAGGTCAACGTCTCTGCAGATCATTGTAACCAGATCTGATGGGCTGAAGATCATGGTGTCTGTAATGTCCTCCCTACGTGGGGGAGCAGATGTTGACCCCTCTTCCTCACCACGTTTGTGTACAGCATCCACAGCCAACTCACACTAAGAAACAGAAGCAGAGATCTTAGGACAGATAGGAGATGCTAAAGGCGTTTTAACAAGATAATCCAAGCAGCTTTTATTTTACCATTATCCAATTTATAGCTGCTGGAGGTTTTGAGGCAAAATCTGTGTCTGTGAGGTGAGATTGATGTTCAGGTTCTTACCCGAGAACTGAGGGTCTTAAATATGCCTTCGAACGAGCTGCCATTCTTCACCTTTAACTCACATGTGGACCCCTGAGAAACAAGCATTTTGATTTCAAATTTAATCTTGTACTAAATTAATATATTTTGAACACATGTGAATCTATAGAACAGCTTCTTGTTTAAATAAAAAAAAACAAACAAAAAAAACAAAACAACAATGACTAACTTAATACAAGAGCAACCCACTTAAAAATATATATCAAACTGCCTTCTGGCAGCTGTTTAAACCCGTTGACACATAAGAGTATGCTTGATTGAGCAATATTCCCTATTATAACAAAGCTAAACATTAATCAGTCATATCTCAGTATAACATCAGTATTTGCCTAAGAGTCAACAGACATGTTTTATTACTGCCAAGATTCCAAAAGGTTTCTGAGTGTTATAACATTTAGGTTAGTGATACAACAGTAATCTTGCTTTGGCTGCATAGTACAAGCAGCTCAATATCAGAAACCCACAACATTAGAGGATGAACATGTAGAAACTTTAGGAAAAGAATAAAAGCTGTTTAATACACACACAAAAATATTTAGTTTAATTTTGGTGTACAATGAAGCACAAACTGTTTTATCTTTAAGTGTAGCACCATGCCATGTAGTCGTCTCCGTTTTTATCATCTATTAACATGAAGTAAAAAGATGTCACTACCAAAGGTTTGGAGGAAAGATATTAAAAGTTTTTCACTATTTTATTCAATCTTTCTTAAATAAAATTCATCAAATTGTTAGAATCATTGTTATTGTGGACACACACTAGAGACCAGTTCAGTTTTTTTTTTTATTGTGCAGCTTCCTCGTCTTTAATAGCTGCACCCCTAGAAAAGCTGCATTACTCATAAGTATGGGAGAGAACTTCTCCAAGTGTCATTTAACACACTTTAAAGTATTTTGTTAGGTAGTGGAATAAACAGGCAGAGCTCAGATGTTTTTATTTTTATTCAGTTCTAATTTTAGTTGCATTTATCACTGTCCAACCCTAACCTGGAAATATGTTGTAAAAACAGGTAGGTTTTGTTACACTGTTGACGTTTACGCCTCCAACGGAGGCAAAAATCCAAATGACTGACTCACCACTACAGCTGTTAGGAAGTGAAGCATTCTAGCATTGTTGTATACACCCTCAAACACCTGCACACACAAGAAAAAATAATCAATACATAATAAGCAAAAACAAATCAATTGGCATTGACTGAATTTACAGATAGACAGACAGACAGATACTTACAGGAGAGGACTGAAATGATGGCTTTGCAGAAGACCTATTCCTGCAAGAAACAAGATTAAAAAGGATTAAAGGAAGCTGAGTTTTTCCATACACCACACCCCCTTTTTTTAATACCTAAATGTAGGAATTTGTCAGAATTAAAGTGCTGATATTAAAAGGTAAACCAAGATACAATATTCATGCTAGTAACACAATTTGAGGAAAACTTATGTTACAGACAATGAAGCTGACTGGTGATCATGTAGCTTCCTGCTCCGGTCCCTTAAAAGCAGCTTTTTGTATGATGGGAAGTTTATTTTTTTCCATTTACATTTAAAAACAACCGATACACAAAGATATGCTATTTATCCGGGCCCTAAAAAAATGAAAATAATTGTATCTTATTCTTAGGCTTTAACCAAAATGTTGATTAAAAAATAAATAAATAAATAAATAAATAAAGTGAATGATTTTCTTTAAAGTAGAATATTTTTGTTGTAGTTTTAAAATTGTAAATATATATTCTAACGAAAAAAGATATATTACTTTTAAAAGGTAATAAGATTATTGACAATTACTCGACATTTGCTCTAAAAATTTAGGAGGCAAAACAATTTGAAAAAAAATAAAAAAGGCTTTGTGTTGATGTTTTAATGATAAGAATAACAGTAGTTATGTTAGAATCAAGAGTCTGACTTCCAGCCAACCGCTTGATTGATGGTCATGTTACCGGCTGTGTCCTTCCCCCATGTTTATTTGCTCTTGTAGGTTCACATTCCAACAGTTTCTATTAAAATGATTAAGTTAACATTCCCCAAATATCATCTGTTATTTTATAGTTAATCAAAATTAAAGCTGTAGATGAGGCGTTTCGCCATCTTTGATTTAGCAAAACAGTGTTTTACTTAATTGAAATGTTTAAAGAAACAAATATTTTTTAAATAATACCTGTATTCCAAAAACCCACCAGTTTGATACTAAAGTCCAAGCCTAATTAGCTTAGGCAAGGTGTGCCTTCTATAAGATTTTCTTTATCTGATCCACTATTTTCACAATCTAACTTTCATTTTCCATTTTTAGAAAAATACTGACTTTCTTTTTCAAGACAGAATAATCTTTGGTATTGTTGTTAAAGGGGAAATAATATATTGGAATAAAACATTACTTTTAGGGAGCAAAAAGAGGCCGTCCACTGAAAATAAACAGATCAACAACTAAAGATCATTGGTTTCATCTTTTGATTTCTTTGTTTTTCTTGGTCAGAAAATAATGACCAAGAGTGTTGTTTGATAAAATCCGTTAGAAGCTTCAAATTAGTAGAGATGTAGCCATCAAATAAAATCCATTTTTGAATCTTTTGAAAGCTTTCTTAAAAGCCATTTAATTTTAAATACATTTTCTTAAGATACAGCTTATTAAACACTGACGTTGACACCATTAAAATAAAGATTCAAATAATTAAAAGAAGTTTAAACACTTAACAGAATAATCAGAATTGATCCAGGTGCAAAGGTGTAGTCAGAATAAAAATAAACAATCAAATTCAAGTGGCTGCCATTAGTTACACAAGGTTACAAAACAAAGACGTAGCTACAAAGACTTTAGCCAACATACATCTAAAAACATGGCTCACATAGGCTATAGTTTTTTTATGTTATTAAAGGCCTTCTTACTACAAAAAATGAAAACAAAAATTACATTTTGAAAGGACAAGTGGCGTTTTCAACATTGACAGGCCAGCTAAACTTTATAGCCTTGATGCTGCTTTGTTTTCACCATCTTGGTCCCACCTCACTGATTTGGCTAGGTAAAAGAAACTGATTTTAATTGGTCAAGACATTCTGCCCATCAATATCAAACTAATCTTATTGGCCAAAACTGAAATTCCAGTACCAAGCCACGCCCCCCTACAAGCAGGGTGCTTTAACCGGTAGGCCTTGCCAGCACGGGACAATCCTCGGTCTGTCCTACTCAGAGAGTCCCCGCCCGCTCACCTTCCAGCCGGTGTCCGGCCGCCGCTGTTGATGCCGCTGACTGGGGAAGACATACCGCCGGGCCCCGGTGTTCCGTTAGTCGCCTTTCTCCCGCCTGAGCCGGATTGCTGCTGGGGTTTCAGCATTGCGAAGCACAAGCCTTAGACAGTACCAAGCTTGAGCTAACTTAATAAAATTGAACTCTCCCGAAAAGAAGCTGGTGTACAGCCAACTATCTTTAGCAATATCACCTGCCTACAACGTGAAGAGCCGGGGTAACCTCAAAAAAAAAAAAAAAAAACACCCCGGCCACTGTAGCAACTCAACACCAGTCGCCTGTGGCCTACCGTGTTGATGTAAACCTTTTAGAAAGTTAAATTAATTCTACCATATATCTGATATAAAAATACCCGTTGATAACTATTGTGTTAACCTTTTGAGTCACGTAAAAAAACAGACACAAATGCTTAAAGAATAACAGCTTTCACGTAATTATTTAGCTGGCTATGTTAGCATTAGCTTTGATCCTCAGGCTCACTTCGGAAGCTTTCCCTCCGGGATTTACTTTCTTCCCTCTGTCCTGTCGCCTCAACTTCGGCTCCGCTGGCTCTTCCGTTACAAACTAAGAGCTCGACGTTACTGTCAGTCGCCTCAGAAGGTTGAATTTTTGTTCAGGTTTCTCGTTGGAAAACCTGCTGCGGTCGGTCAACACCACCTTTCGGTAGGCTCACTTGACTCAATCCGCGCGCGGCTGAGTGGAAACCGGCTGGAAGGGGGAGGGGGCGTTGACGTGCATTTTTCACGTACCGGTAAATGAAAAACTGCTTCAATAATCCACGCGCTTATCCACGCAGGTGTATAGGTAGCTGACCTAAACATTAATTTATCCTAATAAACACGTGGCAAAACCCTCATGTCAAAATCTATTTACAACCTAATAATTAACTTGTTAAGGGGCAGCTCTACAGACGCTCTCTACTTTTAAACTACTAAAGTGAGCCTTTATAACTTTATTTATTTAACTTTCAGAATAAATCTACATAGATTTCAAATAATAATGATCCATGCCAGCTTAGAACTGACACGTGAGCCATAGACACGCATACAAAAAAATAAAATCTGCTTGCGTCTATAAGGCTGATATTACGGTCTTGAGACCCAAACAATATGGCGGCCTCCGTAAAGTGCATTTGTGTAACATAGCTCTAGTTTCCCAATATTCTATAAAACCTTTAATGCTAAAGTCTTAGTTTCTGTTGGAATCACCTGAGAAAATAAGCTTGATAACAAATTTATCCTCTGGTAGGCTAACTGTAAGTACCCTCAGTGTTTGATAATAAACTGTGGATTTTTAAACGACAAAATATAAAAATTGACTATATATTATTGATTATATATATTACTTTATTTTTGTCTGCAATTTTGTATCATTTGCATTTATTTGGTAACATGTCAAGCTTAAACTTTGGATCAACACTTCCACTCTAAAGTGATTGAGAAAAAAGTAAATGCTCTTTTTTTTTGAAGGATTTAGTTATTTATCCAATCTTTTTTGCATAAAAGCATTATGTACATTCCCTACTTTATCTATGGACGCTATTGTAAAAATCAATTCTTATTATTTGAAAAAACAAAGGAATTTTTGTAATGGTTTCCCCATCTAATCAGATAGTCTTTAAACACTATCCTGTTTTGCTTTAGGAGTCCACTTCACCAGCAAAATATTGTACAAAAAAAGCTAAACATAAAAACTGTCTACTCTCAGATCTAATGCAGTTAATGTGCAAAATGTTTTTTTGGAGACATATTTCTTTTTATTGCATTCAAACTTCCAACTCTTTCACAGGTACATGCCTCACATGTTGACAAGGAAGCTATCGCCAGTGCAGAGCATCTGGTTTCTGGTAACCAAGAGGGCCAGTCACATCTCCAGACAGCTATATGATGTCATCGTTGTGGGTGGAGGTCACGCCGGAACAGAGGCGGCGGCTGCAGCAGCCCGGGCTGGCGCGGAGACCCTCCTTGTCACACAGAAAATACAAACAATCGGTGAGGTTTGTTGACGCTGGGTGAACATTGTGACCGGGGCATGGCGAAGCTGATTTTGTTGACCTCCTCACAGGCGCCCTGTCCTGTAATCCATCTCTGGGAGGAGTAGGCAAGGGCCATCTGGTAAAGGAGATAGATGCTCTGGATGGGCTCTGTGGCAGAGCTGGGGACTGGGCAGGGATTCATTTCTCCATCCTGAATCGTAGAAAAGGGCCCGCTGTGTGGGGGCCGAGAGCTCAGCTGGATCGCCAGCGCTACCGGGAGTTCATTCAGGTACGCTACAATCAGGTAAATATTCCTGTTTTAAGATATATTAAAACCTTCAGTGACTATTGGTCCTTCAGGCAGAGCTGCTGTCTACTCCCAGGCTGACGGTGCTGGAGGGCTCAGTGGAGGAGCTTCTGGTGGCGGATCCAAATCCTGAAGAACCTGGGGTCCACAGCGTTACTGGGATACGTTTAGGTATATATCAGATTGTAGCTATTAGAATTAATTTACACACTTTCGTCAGTTTTAAATGATGAATAATGTAGTAAACGTACAAACAATCTTTGGATACACAACTTTGGATCCGTGGAATATTTGCAGCTTCACATAATCACAAGTCTGCATATTTTCATACATTTTATAAAGTGAGAAAATTCAACCTGTTTGAACATGATCTTCTAAATTCATAGTGGACAGTCATATTTGTCATTTAGAAATGTCCTAAATAGAAATGAGAATTGTGCAAATCGATGGCCTGATTCTAACATGAAAAATGGATAATTTGATCATATTAGGTCACCATGCTTTTTTTATTCCTTCCTATGTCAGCCAATAGCAGCCATCCGATCTCTGCCTCGTCTGTGATCCTCACCACGGGTACTTTTTTGTCCGGCTCACTCTTCATGGGCCAAACCACATCCCCTGGAGGCCGGATCGGAGATGCTCCGTCAAGTTCTGGTCTGTCCCAAATGCTGAGGGAGAGGCTGCGTCTGAGGGTTGGAAGGCTAAGGACCGGAACCCCACCCAGAATTTTAAAGGATTCAGTGGACCTCTCCCTGGCCAAGCTTCAACCGCCCGACAGCAACCCGACACCGTTTAGCTTCATGAATACTCACACACGCTGCAAGGTCAAATCTATAAGACGTTCTGACTTGGCTGGTCCATCACTAATTCTTCAATCAGCATTAATTAATTTTATAACCCCTGTAAATGCTTTAACTTTCTAGCCTGAAGAGCAGCTTCCTTGCTACCTAACCTACACAACTCCAGGTGTGGAGAGAGTGGTGAGGGAGAGTCTTCATCTAAACTGTCACATACAGCAAGACACCAAAGGTCCCAGGTATCTGCAGATTTTAAGCACCTTGCCAGAAGTATTCTTACTCCTTTTTTCAACACATTTTGCTTAGGATGTCAGAGTATCTCCATATAACTTCCCACCTCCATGTTTTACAGTGAGGACTGTGTTCCTGCTCCAGCAGAGCTAAAAAAAGGACCAAATTTGGTCATTTGCACGCAGTCAATTCCTACAAAGTCCTTCTAATTTAATTATTTAATTAAGCTGTATGGAAGCAGAAATGCATTTAAAAATTGCTGGAAATCAGCCGTACTTTAAGAGGATATCTTATGACTTTACTTTTGCAGAGTTAGGAAGTGACAATTAGTTGTTTGTGTGTCTATATGAGACGAAATGTGGAAAAGTTGAAAGGGTATGAATACTTTCTCAAGCCTGTGTGCAGGGGGATAAAAGTTGTACTGTGTGATCAATGTTTGGGACAGTAATGTGGGTCTTTTCTCTTATAGATACTGCCCCTCCATAGAATCGAAAGTGCTGCGCTTTCCAGGAAGAAGTCATCAGGTGTGGTTGGAGCCCGAGGGGGTGAATTCTGATCTTTTGTACCCACAGGGTCTTTCCATGACCATGCCTCCTGACGTGCAGCTCCGACTTATTAGGGAAATCCCTGCCATGCACCGAGCTGAGATCCACACCCCAGGTGCAATACCTCTTCCAGAGTGTAGAGCTCATCAGTCCCTAATGCTTGTTTTTCTTAGCTTCCATATCTGCTGTTTTGTGCCTCTGCAGGGTATGGTGTGCAGTATGACTATGTGTGTCCCACCCAGCTCAGTCCGGCGCTGCAGGTGAAAAATACTCAGGGACTTTTTCTGGCCGGTCAGATTAACGGGACGACGGGATACGAAGAGGCTGCTGCACAGGTAATTTCCTCAGGCTGTTGATGGATGCAGCTGAGTAAATACAGCAAACCCTCAGAAATGCATTGCCTGGAACTGCTTGGAGTAAATATGAACTAATATAGGCCATCAGATTCATTTAATACCAAATTCTGATAATGTATTACTGCACTTCATTCCAATGACAAAAGCTCCTTAAATATATATTTAGATCACTTGAAATATTTTATTTAAATATAAAGGGGATGCATTGGTATTTAACCCTCTCTATTCTGCTGCCACCTGTATTAGCGCTATAGTCTTCATTATAATTATTAAGTAAATCATGTATTTTACAGTCCTATTATAAATCTGATGAGCATTATTTCTTTTCCAGACTCTTTATTTTAAGTTCTGGTCCCGCTATCATTTATATTCCACTAGAGATAAAAACATGTCATCCCCAAAAAAAACTCTAAAATAAAATCACCAAGAACTACTAATTTAATCAGAGAGTATATTGATTTTTAACCAGTGTAATATACACTTTTACAGGCATTTTTGTTGCAAGACACATTAGAAACAAACTGGACTATTATTAACAGTAAAGAACAATATTCTACTGATCAGAATAACAAGTACGTTCGGTTAAGAATCTAAATAAATGTTGAATAACTTTACATTCACCTTATTAGGCCCCATAAGCCTTTATTTTTTTTCTCCTAAACCCTTTATGGAAAAATCTTTTTCATATCTGAATTTACAGTTAAGTCCATAAATACTCATGGCTCTAGCAGATTTTTGTCAAACTAAATATTCATTTCTGATAGGAAAAGCAGATGGATTCTCTCATTAGATGATCAAAAGAGTAAAAGGTGAATGAATTGTGAAAAAAAAATTATTTACACCCATCTCTAATGGTTTAACTTTCATCTCAATTAGAGCTTTTACATTTTTTTTAATAAATGCTAACCACCAGGTTGGGATTCTGCTTTTGCTATTTAAAAATGTTTATAAATATATATAAAAAAAGCTGATCTATTTAAATTAGTAATTCTAAAATCATCTGCGAGGACTAAAATCAGTTCTGTTTCTTAATAGACAGAAAGCATGTCAGGGATTGATCCTTCAGTGCCACTAACCTCTTTAGTGCTGCAGGATCTTACAGTCAGGTCTGGAGCTGTTAACAGTAAACCATGAGGAAAATCAATCTTTATGTGCACAGGGTTTGTGGGCGGGGCTGAACGCTGCCCGCTGGGCACTGTCTCTGCCTCTGGTTGGGTTGTCTCGAACAGAGAGCTATATCGGCGTGCTAATCGATGACCTGGTGAGCCGAGGAGTTAAAGAGCCTTACCGCATGTTCACCAGCCGGGCTGAATTTCGCACTTCTCTAAGACCAGACAACGCTGACCTCCGCCTCACAATGAAAGGTAGCTCTTATGTCTGATGTGTTGTTTCTGATAAGGTGCTGGGTCTATACTGCCTGCTCTGCTTCGTCTCCATCAGGATATGAGTTAGGATGTGTGTCATCTGTGCGCCACAACGAGGCTGTAAGAGTGAAGAGAGGTCTCCAAGATGCAATATCCTCCCTCCAGGCTCTCACCATGTCCACAACCAGATGGAGGAGGATGTTACCTGGGATTAGTGTGAGTGAGAGCAAGAACAGCTCGCTGAGGTGAGCCCATCAGTTGAACCGCGCCCTAAATGCTTCAGAGAACAAATAATATCCCTGGTTTATGTTTTTTTTTCTTCTTTTTCCAGCGGGATGGACTTGCTGCAGTACAAGGATGTGTCTTTTGAAATGTTGGCCTCTGTCTTTCCCGAGAACCTTTCAGAGTACATGGAGTTCTCAGAGAGACTCAAAATAGAGGGTAAAACCCGATTTCTCGCATTTTACATAAAAAATTCAGAGGGCTATGGGATACCTTAAGATTTTAATTCCCCCAACTTTTATCTGAACTTTTTTTTTTTCTTAATTTATTTTGATAAACTAAGCTGCTGTTTCTTGCTTAAATGTGTGAAGCCTCTTAAATGATCCCGAACTAAAGCCTAACTGTCTGTCTGTCATGCAGCTGTGTACAAGCCTCACTGTGACCAGAGCAAAAGAGAGATAGAGAGAATTCAAAAGGAGGAGAACATGGCTCTGCCACAGAACATCGACTATTTCACTCTACCGGTGTCTCTCTCTCAAGAAGTCAGGGAAATCCTGGACAGGTTTCGACCCAGCACTGTAAGTCTGCAATCAGGACTGAAAATTCCCTTTTGTTTTGTGTATTTATGACATAAAGATGCTAATCTTTTTGCAAACTTTTCCTCTGTCCACCCATAGCTGGGTGCTGCTACCCGTCTGGAAGGCATGACTCCTGCTGCACTCGTCACACTTTTCAACTATGTACAGTTTACAGGAAAAGAGGCGAGGACGACGAACAGGAAGCAAACGGATCATGAGGAGGATCTATGCACCAGAAAAGCATCTTTACCTCAATGAGAGTCATCCAGAAAAAAGGCAAAAAATGCCTTGTTTAAAGACTTTGACCCTTTTATTATTTAAAACAGTGTACTGTTTATAGTATAAAATAGCTGCAAAATAAAACATTTATACATAAATTTCACTATTTGCTACGTCAAAGTTTTTGTTGTGAAGAATGTTAACCCCCCTAACAACAGCATCAAACCCCATGAGACCTTCTGAGCACCGCTGCTGCCTGTAACCACATGGCCATCCAGCTCCACAGCTCCTCTGGTAAAGAAGCCAAATGGAAACCTCCAGTGAGGCTGAGGGACCCCCCTGGGGGGTTCTGGGTAAATTGTGGTTTCCACAAACACAGTTTTAGCCATCAGGGTGAGAGGAGATGATAAAGGAACCTGGAAAATACACACAGATACCGCCAATAACCAAACTGATCTAAAACTAGGTATTTGCCAGTGTTTTTTGAGTAACTTCATGTTTCTGTACCTGAACGTTTTGACAATGGAAGAGAAATTTGGCTCCCAGGATGAAGTTCTGAGGATGTTCAATGAATCCCTGGCGAGCCCAGAGTACCTGGATGAAGAGAGAGTGTGGGATGGTGCAGCCTGAGTCACCTGACTCCTGTAAGAAAGAAGAAAAACAAAGCAGATAAGCCAGACTCACCCAAACGTTCCTGCACTGCATCAAGATTTTACTAACAGCCAAACAGAAAGTTGTGCACAAATCTACTGTGAAAGGAATAAAAAAAAAGAAAAAACATGATTTACTATCTGAAAACCTTTCTCTTCCAGCTTTACCTGTCTAGAGCTTAGAATTTTAGCTTTTTAATTTTCTTGAAAAATATTAAATTAGATTAAACAAAGAGTGCCTGTGAACTATTTTCCTGTCCAGCCACAGATTCCCATTCAATTCAGCTCTGGACTATGACCAGGCCATTTTAACCGATGAATATGCTGCAACCTAAACTATGCAATTCAAATATCGCTGTACGGTCTTATTTTTTATTTGCAACGCTCTATAAATATTCACCATTTATTCTTAAACAGTGATTTGATCCTTTACTCAGGCTCAAGTATACAGGTGCAAAGCATAACTGTGGTGTTGACATGTTTGGTTTAAATCATAGCTGTACCTGTGGATTGATCGGACACTCCTGTGTGATGACTCGTGTCCAGTCTGGCTGGGAGCCTGAGTTCATGGCGATCACATCGGAAGCAGCGGATCCTCGTAGCGTCTCATAAATATGCGATCGGAGCTCAGTACAGTTCTGAGTAGGGGAACTAGATGGAAACACATCGACTATCAGAGAAAACAGAATATCGTAATGCTGTTGGGTTTCATGTTTCTTTACGAGAAATGCTTCGGCTGTAGGGGCAAGTTTGCCCCTTTTCCTGTTCCCACGGTGCCAATTTAGATCTTCCTACTTATGTAATAGCAATGCAATTACAAGGTAGAACTTTGTTTTCTTTCAATTAGTGAAAAAAATTTGAAAAAAACCTGTTCCAATCCAAATATGTATATAAATAACTTAGTTATGCATAATTTCCGAAAACTTTCCAAACCATATACCCAAAGATTAAGATTTGACACCTCCCATTGTTTAGAAGTTGATCAAACAAATTATGTTTAAATTATTTAGACTATATTTATTGCTGTAAGCAAAGACAGAATATGCAGTAGACCAACTTGAATAAGAACCACCTGATATTTGTTAAATGTTCTTGTATATTTAATAAAAAAGTGCAAGAAATGTATTATTAGAAATCCCACAAAGACAATCGTGATACGACAAACTCACCTTAATGTGCAGCCAGTGATTGTGTTGTGTGTAAAGAGGACAGGCAATCGTGTGCTGGGATCTGAGGAACACTCCCCACCCTCTGAAACGCCAAGTGATGTCAACTAATTCACCATCAAGGAAAAGTGACACATTTCTGCTTCAAAGGTTGTGACAGAAATCAAAACTCTGCTCCTGACAGATAGTCGTAACTTTGCCTTTGAGGATACAGTTTGCAGCTCTCCATTAAAACGGCCGATAAGAGCAGATCCCAGTCTGAGTCCAGTAGGGGGCGCTGGTTCTGCCGGAGTTGGTCTGGGTGTGGCAAGCTGTAACAGATTCAGAACAGACATCCCATGTGCTTATGGAGCTTTGTGGTTTTGACTGTGGCCACATTTACCTTTCATTTCATTATCTAATATTTAAATAGTCGCACATATTGTGCTACGGATGGATGGAACTTGGAATCCCCAAGGTTTCTTCTTCCTCCCCTTTGACCTAAAAATGCATTTAATTCTGGAATTCCCTGTTTGTGCATATTAACAATTCTTCATATTCTCGTTGTTTCTCTCTATTCTTTTATGTCTTTCTATGTTTGAAATAAAGCCATTCATTAATTTATTAATTCCTCCAAGGATTGATAAATATTCTGCTGAGCTGGAACCTACCTGATATTGTACAGAGTGCGTCTGGAGCACCAGCTGGTCCAGAACCACGTCGGCCAATTTTATGTTGATTATTCCATTTGTTATCTCCCCTCTAGCCGTGAAATAAACAGTAAACTCTACCTGCAGAAAAAAAAAGCCCAGATGAGTCTGAAGCTCTAACATACACTAAAACAGATTAGTGGGGTTCCTCACATTTTTCACCACATTCATACAGGAGCCGTTTCTATTGACTGGTGCAGGCCAGTCAGAGAGTGGGGTTACTGGGATCTGAAAACAGCACAAGGTTAGCCTTAATAAAAATACAGCCTGAATGCAATCCTTCACCACTGAATCTGTGTGTATATTAATGTCCTTTGAAAATGCAAACTTTTTCTATTTTATGTTCTTAATACCAAGAGCATAAAAACAGTCAGGTATTTCTTTACTGGGGTGAGAAACGTACCAAAAGATCAGATGGAATTGCAGCCGCAGCCGTTGGAACCTGTAACAATAAAAAAAGGTTTTCTCAGCCTTGCTTTGAGTTTACGACCGGCAGGGATGTTTTTAAAGCAGTTTAGTTGAACTGACTGACTTACCTTTATGAGATTCATGTTTGAAAAGTAAGAGCTGGCTCTGAGGTTTGGGTCAGTGGTGCATGAATCAGAGGTCACCATGCGGGTACAAGACAGCGACGAAGATCTCAGAAACTCTGAGGAAGAGGAGGATATAAAGAAGTGGAACAGAGCCTGTCTGAGGTGGATACTTTACAAGGCACCTCTAGGGCCCTTGACATCAAAACTGTACTTTTGTTCAAGAAGCTGAATCCTTCAGATTAGTTTGCAAATATAAAAGCCAAACAATCCTGTGCAAACTCACAGTCATCGGGGGGATGGCAATCACAAAACAGACTTAAATTAAAACCAAAGAACAAGTAACTGAATTTAAGAAATGCAGACATCTTTTACTGGACCTTTTACAATACATTTTCCACAGCAGGAATAACCACCAAACTGGTTAATTATTTTTTTTTCTCCCCAGCTTTTTATTGTCATTACACTGTCACAAGCACAGAGCAACAAAATGAACTCTCTGCATTTAATCCCCTTGGGGAGCAGTGGGCTGCCATTGTGCGGCACCCGGCGCACAGGGTCTTTGCTCAGGGACCCAGAGTGACAGTCTGTGGGACTGGGGCTCAAACTCAGAACCTCAGGATTCCACGCCCTATGCCCAAACCACTAGGCCGCCGCTCCCCATTCTGGAGGCAAAGCCTAAGATAAATTAATGTGTGGGACTAAGTCTAGTTTGGGGAATCCCTGGTTCTATTTGGGACTCCACAATTTAACTTTCTGTGTAGTTTAAACCTACTTGCAGGGTTACGGCTGAAGCAGAAGGCAGATGCGACGCCTGGAGACGGCTGACGGAGCAGCCCTCGAACAGAAGATTTGGAGAAAAACGTCTGGATAACATCATCAACCTAGAAAAGTATTTTAATCAAAAAACAAAACCCCATATTCACTACAAGTAACTCTAAAGTTTAGTGAGTGTGCAATAGGTGTTTACCCTGTAAAAATCTCTGCTGTGTCTTGCAATCGCTTGTCCTGGAGGTGAGAAATCATAGGAATCACCTACTGGTAGGAAGTGAGTCGGAGCAGGAGGAGACCTGGGTGCATCAGCTGCTACAAGGCAGAAACATGAATATGTGAAACAGCAGTTCAACATGTTTAAAGAAAAGATCAACATTCATTATTTACCTTCCACCTGGATACAAAACAAGGTGTCAGTCACTGTGACCTGTGATGAATTCACGTTGGCTCTGAACATCAGCCATTTCTCAATGCAAACTCCGCTCCTGGTTCATAGTAAAGGGTTTTTAAAACAAATTAAAGGAAGTATGTGATATAAAGAGAGAGCGTTGGGAGAAAACGTACACATCTTTTTTCGGACAGCCAGTGAAGACTGTGGTGAGGTTGGCAACATCACAATCAGCTGTGTCGCAGCAGCAACCAAGATCGCAGAAGTCAGGCGTCAGATCACAGAGACAGCCTAAAAAAATACATAACATGAGTCCTACTAAATAAAATCATACGATTTATCAGTATTAATGGTTTGGTCCCTAAATAATATGAATTTTTAGAATGAATTATGAAGACAGAAATGATTATTGCAGGATCACAAAGAGACACAGGGGTTTTATTACCGTAATATTTCTGGCCCAAAATAAAAATACATGAATTTAAATATATAAAGGGACCACAAAATATTATTATTATGCCTTTCTAGAATTTGGAGTGTTGAAAAACTTTTTATCTTATCTAATCTGCACTAGGATAATTCTTTTTGTAAATTATTGAAGATTTTAAGCAATCTAGTACTTGAGTTCAGGTTTGCCTCTGAAACCCATAGAGGCTCCACAAAAAGAAAAAGAACCATTGCATTTTATTTTTCAAAATATCAGCCACCCAAGAAAAGACCAACCACATCCAGAGAGGATGTGCAGAACAACTCATTTATCCAGGATTCATAGAGGAGAAACCACAGGGATGTTCTTCTTTTAATATTACTTTTCTTATTAATTTATCCTTATTTTGGTCCATTGAATATGTTAACTTAATTTCCATCACATTTTCCAAATGAAACATCCAGAGAAGTGCTATCTTGTGTCATGGTGAGTTTTTCTAAAATCTACAGTCTCCTAGAGGATCTGAATTGTTTAGCTGT